TGATGTAACGAGTTCAATGAAAATTGACCTAACAGTAGGTCTTACATCATACCATACGGAAAGTTTGACAGTTCCTAGATTCCTAATTAGAGTACTGAAAGTTAGGAATATTTTACAGATAAGTGCTACTTAGAGCACAGATGTTAAAAGCTAATCCTTAACCCAAAAGATAATGATGTACTAGACATCATCTAACGGCGATGAGTATTCCTCGGGAGAACCCTGAGGTCTCTCATTTGACGTACCACCTCTTGAAGGTGTCGTTCATGAGCCCTTTGACGAGCTCGAAGTTCCATGACTTCAGCTTGAGAGGCAACCAGACGTTGCTGCAGAGTTTCATTGGTTCTCCGGGTCCGTTCCATATCTTCTTCGAGACGGCGAATGCGGACTGTGTTGACACCAGAGTTGGCATCAATCTCCACGACTCGGTCGATGGCTGCTCGACCTTGCTCGACATTACGAGATATCCTACGGATAAGGACAGGTAGAGCTCGGTCAGCAGAGCCACCATCGCTGACGTTGTAAAAGGTTCGGTCCCCAAAGTATGGTAAGGGTTGACCCTGTTCGTCACTCCAGCGATTCAAGTTATCTACCCACAAGGGAGTGGGACCTAGAAAAGCTGGTCGAGGGTTGTTGTTCGGGGCCTGACCTACTGGAGGTAGGTTGTTGACTTCGGGCTCAGAGTCTGATCCATCTGAGAAGCCTTCAGCTTGATGATCATCCAATAGGATTGGGTGTTCATCGTCAGACTCTGCTTCGAGCCATCCTGCGTTGCCTTCATCTGGAAAGTACGGGTCGCCGTGATGGAATCCAGCCATCTAAATCTACGCGAGAAGAGAGGTATAAAGATATAGTATACAAGTAGTTGGTAGTACAAAATACACCTATAGTATTTCAAGTTTAGGTTCTATTGAATCTTCTTGTGGTATTGTTGGTAAGTTTTTAGACTTGTTAACACATCACAACCATTCTAGGGCATATGCTAATCACTCCTCGGACCAGCATAGTTGATCAGGCTATCCCTTTCCCAGGACTGACCATATATCCCCGAGCTTACCTGTGATATTTAACAATCGTAATACTTTTGTTCTTGTCGTTGTGACACTGGTTTTAGTATGAATGTAGACTAGTATACTTAATTAAATATTTTAGTATTTTAAGTATAGACTCTTGGTCAGAGTGTTTTAATCCCAAATGGGTTTATAGTTTAGTATATCTTTTATGGGTTGATATACTTGATTCACTATAAACAATGCTCTGATACCAATCTGTCACACCCCAAAACCAAGAACGGCGGAAACGTTCTGGGGCGGAGGACGTCATGTAAGTATCACAACACAGTAAATGTAAATAAGCAAACAACATCATCCATTGCATTAAATATATAATTTTAATACAAGTGTGTTCTGTACATTGTAGACACCAAAAATAACGTATATCAAAATAATAAGATGAGTCTTGAATGCGCTCCATCTTCTCAAAAGCTGGCCTCGGTACCTGTCTACTGACGACCTGAGAATACAAGTTATTTTGAAAGAGTTTATCAGCATTAAGCTGGTGAGTTCATAAGTATTTTAGTGTCAGAAGTTGTCATTCAAAAATGTTTGAATCTGTATCAAGTATAAGTTTGTAAAATGTATGTAAAAGTTTGCAATTGTTTGTAAAAGCGTGAATCTCTCAGAAAAACCTATATTTTCTATTAAAGAAGCCTTCTACCAAGGCTTAACTGTTTTGTATGTTCGCTTGATGTAAAAGTGTGTAATTTCCCAAATGTAACTATCATTTATCAAAATATAGTTTGTACATAAACGTGTAAGTGAGGTTATCACTAAAATATGTAATGGGTAAATTAATGTAGTACTGTAGCCTTTGTATTATAAGAACTACTGCGGTACTAACTACCTTAAACCGGATTTATTAAGGCATTACGTGATAAATTGCACCATACTATAGACTAGTAACAACGACAAATGAATGGTCGTAATAACGGAATGACGTTTGGCACCCGCAGACCTGCAGGTCCGGCTGTAGCTAGCAGCAAGGGGTAGGATTGTCAATCCAGTATAGATCTATATGCAAACTCAACGCTCTCCCTTCAAGAGAATTCTGGCTACAACTCGAGCCATGACAGTTAAGTCATGCTCCGATTTAAATCACAATAATAAAGTATTCATGTATATGTACTGTTTCTCGTTCTAGTATATGTATATGTATTGTTTCTAGCATCATTGTATATGTATTGTTTCTAGTATATGTATATGTATTGTTTCTAGCATCATTGTATATGTATTGTTTCTAGTACATGTATATGTATTGTTTCTAGCATCATTATATATGTATTGTTTCTAGTATATGTATATGTATGGTTTCTAGCATCATTGTATATGTATTGTTTCTAGCATCATTGTATATGTATTGTTTCTAGTATATGTATACATATTGTTTCTAGCATCATTGTATATGTATTGTTTCTAGTATATGTATATGTATTGTTTCTAGCATCATTGTATATGTATTGTTTCTAGTATATGTATATGTATTGTTTCTAGCATCATTGTATATGTATTGTTTCTAGTATATGTATTGTACTGTGTTACCCTGATGGTAACTAACTATGATGTACTGATAAATATGAATATGGAAGTACTTTTATGTCTATACATGTATATATTATATATAATTAATGTTGAAATGACTTTCGGATGGTCACCCGAAGTCCCACCAGACCACATCTCAGTGCGCGAAAAGGAAATAGGGCGGATGGCTTTCCTAAGCCCTTTAAACATTACTTATATATATATATATATATATATATATATATATATATATATATATATATATATATATATATATATATATATATACATATATGGGCATGCAATTTATAAGGAGTAAAACAAAGTTTAATAAAAGCATTTGATAAGTAAAAAGAGTTTGTAAAACATTTGAAGTGAAACAGTTTGATAAACAGTTTGAACATTGGTAAAAATCGTTGTTTTCCTAGTTATTAATCACATGTGATTAAATGAAATCACATGTGACTGAAGCAATAACTATAAGTATTTGACTTGTATTCCCCCCCCCCCCCCCCATAAAGTGTTTAAAACATTTAAAATCATTTCAAAGGTTGATTCAAGGGGTATGAACTCACATGTGGTGAGTCGTTTTAATTGAGGTATCGGGTGCTAAGTGTCAAACGGAGACTTGTTCACACGTTTGAGCCTAGTTATCATATAATCAGCATATATATAACTAATTAGCCACATAGTAACTTAACAAAGTAAGTTAATACAATTAGGAACATGTAAACACTCTTATGAGTGTTTAAGGTTCAAATGGTTGCATCTAAGTTGCCACGGGACAAGGCAAAAGGGTTTGAAACATCAAATGGCCTTGCATAGGAGTTCACCACCCAACAAACCCCACATCTTGGAGTTTACGGCCGTAAACTCATGGGTTTATGGCCGTGAACTCCTCAAAGGGTTGTTTTGGGTGTTTTATGGTGCTATCTTGGTCCTAGCTCACTCCTAGCTTTGTTGGAATAACATATGAAGTAGTTTAAAGCTCTAGAATACTCCATGGTGGAGTTTTCGGCCCAAAGCCCTCTCACCCTAGAGTTTACGGCCGTAAACTCCTATGGGGTGATGGCTTTTAATTGTTTTGAGGCTCTTAAACATCAAGGATGGCTTCCATGAATTTATCTAAGGCTAATGGGGACAAGATGCACACATTTAGGGCATCACTTGGAGTTTACGGCCCAAGATATGTTCATTGGCCGTAAACTCCTTTCAAGGAGTGGTTTTGATGTGTTATACTCTCCATTCTAGTCCCAAGTATGCAAGGTAAATTGTCTTAAGGCCTTAGGTGTGCTTGGAATGATTTTTACATAAGAAAGGGGGGTTTACGGCCCAAGATCCTTTCCTTGGTCGTAAACTCCTAAAACTCTATCTTTTGGAAGTGTTTTCAAGTCCAAAACAAGCACAAGAACTAGTGGTTAAAGTCTTAAGGCTCAAGGAGGCAAGTTAGGGCATGTTTGCCCATTTGAAAGGGGTTTACGGCCCAAGAGTTCTTTGGCCGTAAACTCCTCTAATCTTGTGTTTTTGGACATATAAATGATGTTATAAAGCATATAGAAAGTATTAAAACATGTTTAGGAAAGCAGACTCACAATCCGGGATGAAAACCCAAAGATCCGTCAGAGAGAATTGGCTTTTCTCTAGTTGAAAATGTGAATAATGAATTAATTTAGTTCAGAAAACTATTTATAGTCCTGAAATATTTTGACAGAAAATATTTTTATTCCGGAAGTCGGACTATAACATTGTGAAACTTACAATGTTCAAGTTTCACGATCACAGGAGCATCCATTCTCCGGATATGTCCAGAAACGTAAACCCCAATGTACTCAAACTTGTTCGGACAAGTCTGAAATTTACAGAATTTGGACTAGCTTCTATTGAATAGATGATGTTCGTACAAATGAAAATTTCGGGTTGTCACAAAAACTCAGTCACACTCCATACTTTTGTGATTTTAATCTTGGGCTCTCATTCTCTCCTCTTGGGCTCTCTAATCTCTGATTTTACTCTGAAACGTCGATCGACATCCCCACTTCACCTACCATCCACCCAAAATCAATGTTGATTGTAACCACCTTCAAGCATGATGCCATCTCTGCTATAAAGTAACCGAAGCTTACATTCTCATCGATTCCACTTTCTCTCTCTGAACAAAAATATCTCATATTCTCTAAAAGCCCTAAACCATCCACCGCCGGCTATCACCTCCACCATCGTTCACGTCGTTCTACTTCCTAGATGGTGTTTGTGTGTGCGCGACTAGACTGAACAGAAAATGGGAAAGAAAAGAAAAAACGAGCAGAAAGATAGAGAAGACAAAGTGTTGATAGCTCTGTTAACGAATGTGGAGTCTCCAAAGTTGTTGATATCATAGATAGCATCATAAAGGATCCTTCAAGGGCACAATTGCTAAAGTTTTTCATGTCTGATGGAGATTTTTCAAAAGAACTTGATGACAGATTTGGCTCTCAGTGTGGGGATATTTTGGTCTTTTTCGATGCATTGGATAATTGCAACTCTGAATCGGTTAATGTGAAGGTCCTTACTTTCTTTGTTGATCTTTTTTCTGGAGACACATGCCCTAATTTCAATCCAGATATACAGAAGAAATTCCTTGACCTGGATTTGGTCCACAGAAGAAGGATTTCTTGAAAGTCTACGCCTACAGGGTTCAAGGTATGCTTTGTTACAATGCTATTTATGTTTTACTTTTTTTGTTTGACTTGATGGGCTTTCTTGGTTAACCACTTAATCTGGACAGCTTAGTGTATCAAAACACCAACCCTTCCCCTACTTTCCCTTAATATTTTTTCCACTAACTTCTCTCATGTTAAAATTGATGATGATTATGAAATTTTTTTGTTGGGATGTAAGGGTAAAATGGTCATTTGGTCTTAGGGGCTGTTTTATATTTGCTAACAATTCAACCACTTTACCATACAAGACTTGATGGGAAAATAAAAGAAAAAAGAAACAGCCCCTGAATTATTTGTATTGATTCATGATTGATACCTTGTGTTTTCCCATTCCAGGTAACAGTTTCCAATTCGAATCCAAACATAGTAATGGTTGGATTTCGTGTCCATGTGGGGAACACATTAGCAAACAATATACCTACTGAGATAACAATTTTCCAAAGAGTTATAAAACTAGACGAAGGCATGAGGTAATGGTATGACATCCCATTTACAGTTGCAGAATCCCTTCTAGCTGATGAAGAAATTACAATCTCCATAGGAACAACTTTCAACAGATCAACTTTACTAAGAATAGACACTTTAGAAATTTATGGTAGAGTAAAGGATGACTTTGGTTGGAAGGAGAAAATGGATGCATTACTGGACATGGAGGCACGTGTGCTTGGTAGCAGTTCTTGGGTTTCAGGATCTTGGAAAAAACGTTGCATTGGTCAAGTTACTCCTATTGAAGAACAGGTTGTTGCAGATGGACTTAACCTTTCCTCCAGATTATACGCATTGTGTAAGCCAAATTGATCTTCTAATATGGAGGAAGTAAAAACAAAGCTGAACAAACTAAAATGCAAGCAGTTGTTGGAAACCATATTTGAAAGCGACAGGGAACCTATGTTGCAAGCTGCTGCATGTCACGTTCTTCAAGCCGTTTTGCCTAAATGAGGAATATATTATCAAGTACAGAAGTCACTTCTCTACTTCAGTTTTTTATATTATGATTTTACTAATTTACAATCACAAGGACAACAGATGCAAATGAGGAATCTTCACGATCACATGCCATTCTTCATTTTTAAATCTTGCAGGAAATGAAAGAGGTGCAGATACAACTAATAATGATAAGAAAACAAGGTAAAGGTTGGAATATAGAATGGAATGGAATGGAATGAGTCATTCCATTCCATTTCTTCCCTCTCTATTTTTCTCTCTCTTTTTTTCTAATGATCAAAGTTCTTGTTTTTAATATAAGTTTCCTGTTCTCTTTTATACTTGATGCAATTTTTATTTGCAGGCTTGGCCTGTGCATACTCCAAGGCCTGTCGCTTTCAAGCTTGTTGCTGATACCCCTATTCTTACTGGACAGGTAAGTTTCAAATATTTTTGTTGTGGATTTCTTATAGTTTCTTTTTGTTGTGGATTTGTTATAGTTTACTTAGCTTCTTAAATCAAAGAGTATAAAGCTTTCCTAATGTGTTCTAATAATTAAGAAAATGGTCTTTTTTTGAAAAATGCTTCTCAATTTATCTTATTAGGAAGAATGGAGAACAGGCCTCAAATCATATGTTTTTTTTCCAGTAACTTCCACTTCCTTCATGGGTTTGTAACAATACTGATGGACTCTGCTATTTTGTTGTATGGTGTATTACCTTGGATATAATTTGTTTTTACAGTTTTCTCTTTTTATTTAATTTAAATTTGGATATAAGTTTGTAACACATGGGATTTATGATTGCAGCAAACCATCTTTCTTTTCTTTCCAGACATGATTAAAGGCATGTTTTTGGCTGTAGTTATTGGAACACCTGTTGTGGTTGCCATCATTTTAATAGTACAGGTATTATTCTATCTCTGAGAAATTTCATTTGCCATGTCATCAAAAGCTGCCAGATGGACTATTATCTTTCATGTTTGAGTTGCTTCTCAACTTGTAGAAGAATAACATAAAATATTTTGGCATCTGAGTGTAAAAAATAATATTTGAAATCATAAGTTCCTTAATAATACTTTATTGTGTTATATGTACTTTATTACTTACTCATAATATATAATTTAATCTGATTATTGATTATGTTTGGTAAGATCATGTTCTCTGTTCTTGATGCTGCATCTGATAGGGAACCAAAAGTGAGGACTTTTTTTCCCCTGACACTTGAAATAACAGGGTAAGGAGAGCATTCTAAACATTCTGGAAACTTTAAAAGAAGAGGGAAATAGGGTCTTATTCAATGCTTTAGCTGTGTTTGCTCTAAGGGAGATTAACTTATCAAAAGTAAGTTACTGTTTCACCCTTTTATTTAATATTTTTGTGATTGAATGAAAGTCTTAATGAAAGTAATTGACACCCCTTTCTCTGTAAATGATGTTGTGATTATGGGAGAGGTGTTGTGGTTTTCTCTGTTGCTAGGTAACATTATCAACAACAACATTCTACTTAAGCAGGTGAGTAATCAAGATTAAGGGAGACTTGTAATCATGTTTGATATTCCTTTCCAGTAAGAAACAGAGTTGTATGAGTATTTGTTAGTTTTATAGGAATGTATAACCCATGTTAGCAATGTATTATTTTTGTTTAACATTTAAATGATTCTTTGTATGACATTACAATTTATGCAATTTATTTTATTTTTTGAGTATGAAATTTTATTTTATATTATGCAATGGATTGAATTTTTTGTATATGGTATTTTATTTCTATCAATAGAAATTAAATGCAAATTTAATTTAAAAATTAATAAATATATAAATTTATTTTTTTAAAACATTTAAATTTACGATACGCAAAAATGTGTGTCATCTTCATTTATGACATGGCCTTTCTTGACAGGGGCTTTCTTGATACGCATTGCGTGTCATTAACACGCGCGTCGTAAGGTTACGACACGTGAATGCGTGTCAACTTCCTTTATGACAGGGCCTTCCTTGATACGCATTGCGTGTCGTAAACGCGCGTCGTAATTGCGCGTCGTAAATGCGCGTCGTCTACAGACGACGCGCAAAAGTGCGTCGTCTCTCTTTATGACAGGGCCTTCCTTGACACGCATTTGCGCGTCGTCTGAGCCTTTTACGACGCGCAATGAGCGTCATAAAAGGCCTTTTTTCTAGTAGTGTAGGAGTTTACGGCTGTAAACCCCTCTAGGAAATTCCATGGGCCGTAAACTCCTAAAAGGTGCCCAAATGATGCCCTAACACCCCCATTTGGCTTGGAATAATGCTTAGAACATTATACTCTATCATTTAAGGCTTAGATCTATGAAAGAAATGACCAAGTGAGAGTTTACGGCCGTAAACTCCTTGTTTATGGCCGTGAACTCCTTAAATGGTCCCTTAAGAGCCTTAAACCCCTTCATATGCATTGTATTTGGACCTAGCCTAATTCCTTGAGTGATATAAGACACTATGGCATCCTAGAACACCCTTATCATGAGTTTACGACCGTAAACTCATGGGGAGTTATTCCCAGGGCCATGAACTGTATAAAGAGTTTACTCTTGAAGAGTCTACTCCCGATCTAAGCCATACACACCCTTAAATGTTACCCGGGACACTCCAAACACTTAACCGAAGCTTTATCAGGGATTTTTCCAAGATCGTCATACCACTCACCAAGTTGACCCGGAAGGGTGTTGCTTTTTCATGGGGTCCGGAGCAGCAGACCTCATTTGAGACACTTCGCTAGAGATTGTGCAAAGCTTCGGTGCTCGCACTCCAAGAAGGGATGGAGGATTTTGTGGTGTACTGTGATGCATCGATATCAAGGTTCGGAGAAGTGCTTATGCAGAGGGGGCATTTGATAGCATATGCATCGAGGCAGCTGAAACCTCATGAGTCGAGGTATCCCACCCACGATCTGGAGTTGGGGGCAGTGGTGTGCGCCCTCAAGATTTGGCGTCACTATCTCTATGGGGTTCGGTGTACCAGATACACAGACAACAAGAGCTTGAATTACCTGATGGATCAGCCCAACCTAAATATGCACCAGAGGAGATGGTTAGATGTGGTAAAGGATTACGACTGTGAGATCCTGTACCACCCTGAAAAGGCTAATGTTGTAGCCGATGCCCTGAGCCGTAGGGTGGAGGGCGCCAAAATGCGAGATGTTTGCATGAGATTGATAGTGATGACTCCGGTGTGGGACACCGTTCGAGGGCCCTAGGCGGAGGGCGTGAAACCGGAGAACCGCAAAAGGGAGTGAGTGATCGGGCAGGTGTCGGAGTTCGTTATCGATAGTCGAGGACTTATGACGTTTCTGATGGGTTTTGGTCATAAGACATCCTATGTGCTCATACAAACCCTAATGCTTGGATCTAGGTTTCTCTATTGTACATCATTTGAATCCAAGACTATAAACCCTAATTCTATCATTCAAATAATCATATTAACATGAGAATAAGTTTATAATTTTACCTTGATTGTTATGTAGCAATAACAATCCCAAATCTCCTTGTATTGACTTTGGAATGCTTAGAGTCACAAGTGTCACTCCTCTAATGGCTTACAAACACCAAGAGCAAATGGAGAAGGTATAAAGAGAGAGGAGAAAGGTTAGAACTCCTCCTTAGGACTCCTTGGGAACAAGTACACGAATTCTAAGGCCTTAGGGTCTTTATATAGGTGTAGAGATAGGGTTTCAGTCATTATCCTTATCTAGTTGCTTATCCACAAAACAACCCATAAGATAAGTCTTAGAAATCCCTTATCCTTTATCCTTTGGACGATTTCAAGGATATCTTATCCCTTGAATTCGTCCAACCTATATCTAGGATAACTATTACCATATATTGTAACTATCACATAATTACAATTCAGCCCCTCTAGTTTAATTAATTACACTTGATCACAAAATTAATTCCTAATTAATTATTGACCAATATTAATTAAACAAATATGATTTCTCCTTTAATATATTATTCTTATAACATATTAATAAATCATAATAACCTCTCTCTCTCTCTCTCTCTCTCTCTCTCTCTCTTTATTTATTTCTCCAATCAAGTTGCTTTGGTGAAGGCAACCCAAAAGGACCATGCACCATCGGGTCAAGTACATACCAAAATAATTATGGACTTAGACACTAATCCAACACTTTCAGGGTTGGGTTTGGGTACGGTTTGTGGGCAGAACGCGTACCATCTTAATGGAGGAGTCACATAGATCGAAGTTCTCGATCCACCCCGGGGCCACTATGATGTATTTGGACCTGAAGAGGGAGTATTGGTTGCCCTGTATGAAGAGGGATGTCGCATGGTTCATAGAGAGGTGCTTGACCTGTCGCAAGGTTAAGGCCGAGCACCAACATCCGCATGGTAAGTTGCAGCCGTTAGAGATTCCGGATTGGAAGTCGGAATAGATTACCATGGATTTTATCTCTAAATTGTTGTGGACTGCTAGGGGTATCGATGCAATTTGGGTGATTGTGGACAGGTTGACTTAGAGCGCTCACTTCCTTGCCATCAGTGAGAGCTCTTCTGCGGAGAGGCTAGCAGAGTTGTATGTGAGGGAGGTGGTATCACGGCATGGAGTACCGATCTCGATTGTTTTAGATCGACATCTGAGTTTCACTTACATACTTTGGAAGAACTTTCATGAGGAATTGGGTACGAGGCTGCATTTTAGTACCGCATACCACCCACAGACCGACGGATAGAGCGAGCGGACGATTCAGACGCTCGAGGACATGCTTCGGGCATGTGTACTGTATTTCGGCGGGAGTTGCAACATGTATTTTCCCTTGGCTGAGTCTTCCTATAACAACAACCATCACTCGAGCATTGGTATACCACCCTTTGAGCTGTTGTATGGGAGGAGGTGTCGGACCCCCATTTGCTGGGGTGAGGTAGGGCAACGTGTGATGGGTAGTATAGAAATAGTGCTTCAGATGACAGAGCAGATACAACAGGTCAGACAGAGGTTGTTGACCGCTCAGAGTCGCCAGAAGAGTTATGCGGATAGGCGAAGATCCGAGCTCGAGTTCCAGGTCGGGGATTTCGTGCTCCTGAAGGTATCTCCTTGGAAAGTAGTGATCCGATTCAGGAAGTGGGGCAAGCTGGGGCCCCGATATATTGGGTCGTTTAGAGTGATCGTGAGGGTGGGCATGGTAGCGTATCGCTTGAAGATACCTGCGGATTTGGACCAAATTCATGATACTTTCCACGTGTCGCAACTGACGAAGTGTATAGCCGATGAGTCGGCAGTGGTACCACTGGAGGATATCCAGGTGGACGCGAGTCTGAATTATGCCGAGAGGCCGATTGCAATCTTGAATCGGAAGATCAAGGTTATGAGAAACAAGGAGTTGCACTTAGTTCATGTTCAGTGGCAACATCGGAGGGGGTCCGAGCTAACTTGGGAGCTGGAGTCGGAGATGCGGGAGTAGTATCCGAAGTTGTTGTCAACATGAGACTTCGAGGGAGAAGTCTGGTTCTAGTTGGGGAGAATTGTAACAATCCGAAATTTAGGTAAGCTTTATAACCCTTCTATTTTGAGAGTTGGCAAGATGAGTCCCTAAAAGTTGTGTGTTGGTTGTGAGTACGCTGGGCATAATGAGGCGTACGTCGCGCGTACTCACGCACTTATTTTGAACGCGGACTCGCCCGGGTACGCTGGGCGTACCCAGGGTTACGCTGGGCATAGTGTGCCCAGATGCAAACCCTAATTTATGGCTTGTGCACTATGAAAGGGACATTTATTCCTTTGCCCTAGCCACCATACCCCCTTGAGTGAGCCCTTAGAGTGCAGTAATCCGTGTTTAAGCTTGTGTGTGTGTTCTTGAGCTTGAAGGTACCTTTTTGAGGTTATGAAGGAGAAGAGGAATCCATTATTGAAGCTAGATGTGGAAGAGCAAGAGTAGATCCAAGTTCTACAGTGGTTGGAGATCCCTTTTGAGGTAAAAAGCTCAAACCTTTCCTTCTCCTTCAAGAGTTTTGCTTTTTGGACCCATTTTAGGGTTTTTGGTTCAAGGTGGACACTTTGTATGCAAAGAGTCTCCGTAAGCCTAGATCTGGCCTTCCCCAGTGTACTATGTGTTGAGGATTCATAAAAATCCTATCTTGGTCGTGCATATTGAGTCATGCATGAGTTAGGGTCTTAATATGGAAAGAGGAAAGGTGTTTTGAGTGATAGATGATCTTTACAGCCATGTAGGGCTTAAAGGTTTCAACTTTATGGGG